AGACAACACTATGAGGTCCATCATGGTGACAATCTTGCTCTTGGCACCTGTATCTGTTCTGGTTTCATTTCACTGTTGTTGCTATAACAAATAATCTAAGAAAAAGCAAGTATTTTTACTTTTGGATTGCAATGAATTCCAGGTTCCAGCCCGTTCATGAGGAGAAATCAGGGCAGGAGGTGAGGCAGTGTATTTATAGTTGATGGTGGAGAGAGAATAAACGATCCCATGTATCCTGTTTGCTTTTTCATGTGCCACTTGTACCCATTTTGCATTCTTCATTCATAGAGTCCAGGGCCCAGTCAAGAAAGTGGTATCTTTCATGCCCTTCTGAATATGTCCAGATCACTCAGGAGTCAAGAGAATTTCCCCACAGACATGCCCAAAGGGCAACATGGTCTACCCAGTTCCTCACGAAGACTCCTCCCTGATTATTCTAGATTGGGTCAAGCAGACAGTCAAACTCAACCAGCACAGAATCCAAATGCTACTTCTAATTGTTAACACAGTTGCCACTTGTGTTAATTGTTCTTCCTGTTGTTGCGATGACTGGAAGGGCTGTTTCCCCTTACAGTTTCGGGGAATACAGCCCCTCATGGTGGGAAAGTTGTTGCTAAAGGAGGATAAGGCAGCCGGCCTCATGGCGCCCTCAGGTCTGCAGTCAGGAAGCAGAGAGTGGAGACCACTCATGCTCAGTCTCCTTTATATTCAGCTCTAGATGCCAGCCCGTGGAATGGCATAACTATCATTTGGAGTGGGTCTTCTCATCTCAGTTAATATAATAAAGTAAACCCATCACAGAGATTCTGTGAAGCTAGTCTCTTCTATGATTCTAGGTCCCATCAAATTGATTGCCAATATTATCCAGGGAGAGCATTAAAGAATAATAATTAATGGAAAAAGAGGCCATGGATTTGAAGAAGAGTAGGGTCTGATATATGGGAGAATCTGGAGGCAGTAAAGGGAAGGGAGAAATATAATTAAATTATAATGTCCAAAATAAACTACAACGAAAGTAAAAATAAAAGTAAATATGCATGTTTGGATGCCAGACTAGATATTCTAATTTTAAAACCACAGTAACAGAATTGGTGTGTTTAAATTATTGATAAGTTAGTCTAAGATTCTGTCCAAGTTGTGAATTACTGATGCAAACTATTACACTATCTACCTAGAGAATAGTATTACCTAATAAATAATGTTGAGTCTAGTTACCACAGAATCAGGACCTGGTACTGACTTATAGACCAGTTCTAGACACATCTATGCAGGTATTCCACACAGTTAAAGTGTGTTTTATAGATAGAGCATTGTCTTAGTCAGGGATTGTTATTGTTGTGAAGAGACACTGTGACCATGGCAACTCTTAGAAAGAAAACATTTAATTGAGGGTGGCTTGCTTACAGTTTCAGAGGTTCAGTCCATTATGATTGTGATGGGGAGCATAACAGAACGCAAGCAGGTGTGGAGATGGGGCTGAGAGGGCTACATCTCACACGGAACAGGGAGTTGAATCATTGAGTCACATTGAGTAGAGCTTGATAAAAAAGACCCCGAAGCCCACCCCCATAGTGACACAATTCCTTCCATAAGGCGACACCTTTAATAGTGCCACTCTATTTAGGAACCATTTTCTTTCAAACTACCACAAGTGTCAAACAGACCATATTCCATCTTTGATAGCTATTGTAAAACTCACACTGCTAAATTATTAGTCTCTATATTTCTTCCTTTATAAAATTCTGATCTAGCAGTTTCGTCTCAAGTCTCCCCTTGTCAAAACCCACTGGGGAAAACTAGTGCTTTGGGGATTTGTATTCCTTAACTTAAAATTGTTGGATAGAATTGAAAAATGAACACATAAGAAAGTTAAAGAAGGAATTGCATACTGGACTAACCAAAATACACCCTGCGGAAATCATAAAATGAGAACAGAATTTGAGCATTTGAATTCAATTCTGCTTTATGAAGGAGTAAAAATGAAATAAGATACTCATATCTTGGATTTTCAAAGACACAAGTCACATTCAATTTGGAACTGACAAATGTATCTAAACTGAAAATTGTCTTAGGAATTTTTGAGCTAAGAAGCCCATTGCTTTTTTTACTTTAAATGTGTGCTCTCTGATGATTTAAAAACTCTGGTTCTTGCTGACTTGTGAAGTAGAAAAAGGTAGAAAAGACCAATTATTAGTCCCTGATTTATGTAAAGCATGCTTGTCCTGCCTGTTCACCCAACACAGCATCCTTTATTACTTGAACACAATGTACTTGGGGAAATAGCTGAAAGAGTTGCTAGTTACCCTTAACAACCTGCTGACTGCCACAGTCGATTCTCTTAAATAGGCTTGCTTGTCCACCCTTCTTGTGCTTTTAGAATATAGAATAAAAATACAAACTAAACCCAGGACTTTTAGGATCTCTCGTGTCTTCCAGTCCACTGGGGACATCTTTTTTCATCTACTCTCATTGTTGTCTGTGTTTATTCCAGAAAGATTCCGTCAACACTCAGTAGACTGAATGGAGTCTGCCACACTTTTACTTCTCATGTACTAATGTATTTTTAAACTTCAATGGTAGCTCTCCTGGATACGCAAGTGATCTTGAGTATGTTGCTACAAAGCATAAGACAAACCGAGCTTACATAGGTTCTAAATGTGGGGCAAACATAAATAAGGTGTGGAATTTGCTGGTTACTGCTTGATATGTACTGTTGGATCGAAACTCATTAGATCATTAAGAACCAAGACAAATTTTATTTGTATCTGATCCATTCACATTTATTTTAAACTGTTTTGTTCTGATATGAGTTTTCAAGCTGTATGCAAATAAAGGGATGTGGAGTTTGTTTGGTGTTGTTTATCTCACTGAAAAAATAGAATGAAATCTTTGTACCACAAAGGAGTTACATTGATTTGGGTTTTGTTGTTACTGAAATAATTGCTTTTTGAGTAAATGAAAAGAAAACAAACTATTTTCTTATGATAAGTTGCCAGATATGGAAGGAACATCTGAAAATTGATAATACTTTTTTCCAAGGAAGCGATGGGTAAGAGCCATTGCTTTGTAGTTGGATATTGAGTGGTGGTGTGGTGCTGTGTTAGATTAATTGGAGCTGTTAGTACTTAAGTAAATTTATGGAGATGAAAATCTAAATGAGATAATGGCAGGGTAGCAGTTTCATAGTCCACGTAAACTAATTAAACATCTAATCAGATTCTTCGAAAATATCTTCATGTGGATTACGAGTGCAAGATGACACAGCAAGCCAACAGATTGAATTATATAAGTCTTAAATTCTCATAAGAGTCATGGCGTTGGAAGTGTTAGCTTGGCAAAGATGTACCAGATAATAAACTTGAGATTTCATTAGATGGTATTTGTTTATCTAGGAGTCAATTTATCGATTCTTTATTTTTCAAAGCATGGTGTTAACCTTTTGTATGTGACAGATTTTACTGCTTCTGTTCCCATTTCCCGCTGGTGTTCTCTTCAAGAGATGTTTAGTTTCTCCCCGGAACCTGCCTCTGTTATCCTAGAACATATATGTTCTACTGAAGGCTTTGGCATAACCTTATCTTCCAGGCTGGATTAAGTCCCAGAGAAGAGGACTCATGGGAACTTATTTGTTTGTTTGTTTATGTATTTATTTATTTATAGAAAAGTCTCTTACTCATAGCTGCTTTTAAGACCCAAATTCCTTTTGTTAATCTGTGATTCCTTTAGATGAAAGGAATTCTCTGGGAGCTCAACATGCTTGGTGTCTCTGGTCTTATCCCAGCAGATTCCAGTAGAAAAGTTCCTCAGAATCTTCCCCCAGAATTAATAACCAAGAAGGTCTCCAGACTTGGCCAATTTTTTATGAGAAGCAAAATTTACCTTCATGGAGATCCATAGGTTTATTATATTGAGAAATTCCATTGAATATATGCATCTGTATATACACATGCAGATGTATATTTCTTTGTTTGTACTAATGACATCTATTTTCACCCTTGTGACATAGTTTGAGGTACTATGAAGGACATAAAAGAAAATTGCACTAGATGGAGTGAAATAGTCCTGACAGAATGTAATCAGTGATGCTGGAATATTTGTAGTTGGAAGTTTTCTGTCCCTACTGTCAGTTCGCACAGCCGCTTATGAAATAACACTCTAGGGGTTAATATTAATTGTAGTTGTTTGGCCAACGGCTCATACATATTACTGGCTAGCTCTCTCTTAGAAATGAACTCATTTCTATTAATCTATGTATTGCCCTGAGACTGTAACTTTCCAGAAGTGCTCAGCACGCTACTCCTTCGGTGACTACATGTTGTCTCTCTGACTCCACCTCCCTTCTCTCTGATCTTTGTTTAGATTTCCCACATAGCTATATTTTGCTTGGCCATTGGCCAAACCAGCTTTATTGATCATCCAGAGGTAGCAAAGTGTATTTGCAGCATACAGAACGGCATCACATATCAAATAGTGGAAAGATATTGAACTCACCTCTACTGAGGCAAAAATCAGAAGATGCCACAAACACTGTGGGGAATTAATGAAAACCCTAGAGGATTTTAGGGACAAGGTTGGTCAATGCTGAAGTTTCGCTTTTACTCTCCCATGGACTGTGATATGAGGTGCCTGTATTTTTTCATTTCAGAGGGGTGTCCCTAGGTCCTTAGAAAGTCTAGATGATAAATGTACAATGACTTTGGGAGGACATTTGTACTTCACAGTGAGAGCTAAAGAAAGGCAAGTTTTGTTCTGGGTTATGAAAACACCTGCAAACATAGTTTGAATCTATATGTACCATTAAAACCACCACTAAAATTGGTTACATTGAGACTGTGCAAACAGCACATACTCTCAGCACAGGATGCCATGAGGTGCTGATGCCCAGACTTTTTACCTGCTCATATCATGTCTATGTCTGTGTCTGTATGTTCTTGGAACAGGGAAACTCAAGTTTATCCAATTCTGAGTGTTTGCTGCTCTCATCCAAGGATTGCCATGCATTTCCTGAACTGAGACTCACTTGTAAGCTTTATTTGTAACACTTTAGACAAGGGTTAGAGTCACTTCTATGTCTTTAATTCTCATTCTGAGGCCTGACACATTCTAAGACAGGAACAGCCATATTCTTCATACAGACATGACACTTGTACTTCTGCATTACTAGCTCAGGCAGAGTCAACTCCAGGAAAGCATGGAATGTATTCTTCTTTCTATGGTTGCTCTCTAGATCTATCCCACAGAAGTCTGGAATGCAGCAAGTATCGACTCGTCTTGGAGTCTGATTGTACTCATCAATTCATTTTCTAGCAATTCACTTAGTTAATGCCAGGGGTTTGGTTTGAGTAAGAGATTGTTCTAAGCTCTGGGATGAAATAAAAGCAACACATCAATGTCTCGAAGTACCACACTGTTTCAGAGGGGACAGACCATACCCAAGGCTACAGGGCTGCATGGCTGCTTGCACTTAAAAGCCATGAGAAGAAAAGACCAATTTCTTCAGAGACATTATGAAAAAAAAACTATAGAAATGGGGTCATGATAAAGTAGAACCCTGAAAAATATTTAAGGGTGAGCAACGTACACAATGTTAGATCAAACAGGGCAAGCTGTTTGCTTAAGTCACCGTAGAGTCTGGAACATCCACAAAACAGGTTTGCCCTTCCTCTCACCCCTGTCCTCCAATGACTGGAACTCCCCTTCTAGCCTCTGGGGAAAATCTCTCAGCTTTTCCAGAAAAAATATTAAAACAGACATTGGCCATTACGACTGACATTTTCTGATATTAAAAATACATCACACAACATCACTTTCAGCTATTTGAATTTAAGGCATCTTTCTGTCCAGTTCCCAGGCTTGCCATGAATCTCCAGGGAACAGGCTGTGGGGCAGGGCGGGGTGGGGGCACTGACAATGTCCATATCCTTTCCTTGTTATTCTTTCCCTTCATAGCTTTGACATGAGGCTGAGAAATAGAAGTTGGGTGCTCACAATCCTCCCTCTCTGGTACCCTGCAGCCTGACACATTGTCCTGTGTTTGTTAGTGGCCCCAGTGGCTGATGCAGTGGGGTATCTCTTGAGCATGGTGTTGAATGAGGAGGTGAAAAGCTTGAGTCTTCCTCTTCCAGGGCAGCTGCTTCTCTCAAAAGCTCCATTACTTCTTTTATATTCATTGTATCTGCAGTTGGTGATAGGTGATAAAGAAAGGACATAAGAGAATGTATAGATTTATCTCACACAGCCTGGGGAAGAGTGTCTGGCACCTCTTTAAGAAGATGTGAACATTTGTCACCTGCTGTCCTCGATTTTAGGACTTCGTCCAAGACTCTTTAGGTGACAGAAATTCTGTAAAATATTCTGCTACATGTAAAGTGGTAGAATATTTACTGTTTGCAGAGCACTTACATTCACCAGTAGCAACAAACCATTTTAGATCATCTGATATTTAGAACTAGATGTATCTAGCATGCAAACTTGCTCACACATTTCAACTGTAGTAATAACAGTCCTGTATCAGACTGTAACTTGCATTTAGTAAGTTACATATAGACTGCAGCTATAATGCAGCACATGGCATGTACAATGTCAGCCAACCTCTTCTTTGTTTGAGCCTGAAAGCAACTTTTAAAGTAGATCCTGCAGCAATTATTTGTAAAATAAGGGAGATATATAGGCATAGAACAGTTATACTTAGAATTTTTGAAATTAGGTTAAAGACTGGTTTTGAGGACTTTGCACATCATGAGAGATTTTAATTTTTTTGTGTGAACATAACCCAGGGGGTAAAATTTAAATGTAGCAAGAAAATTCCTCATCAGCTACTAAATCTTAAAACCATGTTGCTCTGTATTTTATTATTGAAAGCTTAATGTATGTATTACTAATTTTGGAACTATAAAAAAAAAATAGGCCGGGCGTTGGTGGCGCACGCCTTTAATCCCAGCACTCGGGAGGCAGAGGCAGGCGGATCTCTGTGAGTTCGAGGCCAGCCTGGTCTACAAAGTGAGTTCCAGGACAGCTTCCAAAGCCACAGAGAAACCCTGTCTTGAAAAACCAAAAAAGAAAAAAAGAAAATACAATGAGACTCTTACCTTTGTTGGGGTAGAACTTGGGTATGCAGTCAAATCACTTACAATCAAAGCTTACAGATTCCTTCTCTTTCAGACATTTCTTAAGCATAACAGAGAAACACTCCTAGTTGAAGGAAGAAAGAAAGAAAACACTATTTAAAAAGTTCTTAATAACTATTTGTTTAAAAATGGTTTTATTTTTATTTTACGTGTTTTTTTCTGATCACACCTGGTGTCCACAGAGGCCAGAAGAAGGTGTTGGATCCTCTAAACCTGGAGTGACAGATGCATAGCTGCCCTGTTTCTTCTGGGAACTGAGCCCAAGTCCTCTGCATGAGCAGCCATTGCTCTCAAATGCTGAGTCGTCTCTCCAGCCCCACTGCCTGGTTCTTGACGGTCACAAATACACTCACATGTAATTAGGTTTCCATAAGAAACTTTGCATACCTTTGTAGGGATTTGAAATTCCCAATTGTCTTTTTTTGGGTATGTGGCTCTCTCTGCTCTCCATCTTTAACACTTCTGCCCACTTCTGCATCCAGAGTAATTTGGTGATAGTGAGTTAACCCCTCCATGTTTCATCTCATGTGATGCTATAAAGACAAAAATGCACCTGTGCTGTTTTTAGTTTCTCACGTGTGCATTTGAAATCAGTCACATTGCTAATGTGAGGTTTGCATATTTATCTGTGTCCTGTGTGAGTGGATGATGGTGTCCAGGTTTGCTCACTCATGTGTTGGAGTGCTAACTCATTGCTGTTACCGGTAAATGACCTGCTGCTCTGTGCTGGATTTGCACCCCTTCAGATTTGTCTCTACATACGGGCATTTGCCTAACAGGATTTTGTTACCGTGTTTACTTTTTGGTCAGAATGAACATAGAACCAACAGTATTCCTGTATGTAAGTGCCGATGAGCTAAGGAACAGGCTAAAGATTGTCCTGGAAAAGTGCTGGCGTTGTAGTATGCTCTAAATGGATTCCCACACTCACATTCCCTTCAATGTGCTGGTGGATCTTCTCTTCATAGACACTGCCCCAGTTTTTAATTTTTGGAACCATGATGTTTCATTGATTTTTGTTGTGTTTTCAGCAATATTGGTAAAATCAAGCAATTTTTTTGTCTATGATTTGTGATTTCACAGACTTTTACCATATTTCTATTGAGTCCTTTGGTTTTGATTAATTTTAATATTTTATTTATGATATTACAGACAACCTTTGCTCTACCATTGGCTCTGAAAATATATTTTTCTAATGCTATTGTTGACTTATTGAGAGTTTGCTTCAGAAAGGGTTTACCCCCTTTGTATGTATATCTCTGATTGTGTGTTTGTATAAATATTTAATTATGGGAGCCTAATTTTATCTAGATTCTCCTGTTCTTTCCCATTGATTCTGTCCTTTGTTTTTAGTAAGTGAATAATTTACATATCATTTCTGTTTTGCATGTGATTTTAAATGATGATGAATGTTTTTATTTCTGGAGAGTTATGCTTACATGTTTATCTAATGATCCTTCTGTACTTGTCTAAATATCCATGCATCTACATTGCATGTATGTATGAATGTATAGTGAGGTCCAGTCTGGGCTGTCTCTTTTTCTGCTGGCCTCAGTACATAACACCTCTGTTATAATGTACCACTTTTAAGTTTGTAAGCATCTCATCATTTTTCTACTTCATGGTTTTATTGGCCATTGTTTGGCAACTACCTATAAATATCATATGCATAAATCAAACCATTCTATCCAATCGTATTTAAAGTCGTATTGGGATTCTGTCCATACTTCTGTTAAATTTGCATATTAAGTAGGGAGAGATTACCACTTTTATGCCACTTCTTCACACCTAAGTACCCACCTATTTGGTTTAGCCATTACTTGATTATTTTAATAAAATTGTCTGGCTGTCTTCATTAATCCTGCTATTTACTAAGTGTTTTGGTCTTTTTTAATGTTTATAAGTGCTATAGGTGGTATCTTTTCCCTCAATTTACTTTAATGTTTATTATTGCTACAGACTGTAAAATGACTACTATTTATCAAACTTCAAGGTAAGGTGTTATTACTTTCTCTCAGTTCAATTTTAGTTTTCTCTCACCTGTTCTTTGCTTGTCTCCTTAGGATGTATTTTATTTCTACATTGATTCTAGAGTATTTTTCTCCAAATATCTTATTTTTTCTCACAATTTCTAGCAACCCTCTGTGTTTCATTTTTGATTCTCTGAAGTAATTGATCTGCCAACATACCTGTTTGGCCTTTGGTGATGAAAGTCCATTCCTTTTTTATGTAATGAAATCTGTAGTTTAGAGTGAAGTTGTTTATCTACATGTGTGTGCACTGAACTATAATTAAAACGCAGTTAGCATTCCTCAAATATTCTTTGGATAATTTTGTCCCTCTGATTTTCCCCCTTATTTTGGCAACTACTTCACCTAAAATGTGCTTTTCAGCTTGTATTGTTTTGTTGTTGTTAAGTATTATTGATTAGGTTTCTTCCACTGGAAAAATGCACATAGGGCATTTTGAGTAGTATCTACAGATGCCGGGATGAGCTGGGGTTAGTGAATGTCGATCGGGCAATGGGATAACTAACACAGTTTCTCTCCTTCAGCTGCAGCTCCTACAAGTTAGGCCTTTCCCTTTGTGCAGACCGTCATAAGATTGTAAGAGTGTCATTAATTATGTCACATATGAAAACACATATAGTACAGTTTTTATTTGCTACTTGTTTATTTAGTGTGTGTGTGTGTGTGTGTGTGTGTGTGTGTGTGTGTGTGTGTACATGCCTATGCCAAGGCAGGCAAGTGGGACTCAGGGGACAATTTGCAGGAATAGATTTTCACATTCTGCCATGTGGATCCTAAGGATCAAATTTATCTCATCAGTTGAATTTTTGTTTGTTTGTTTGTTTTATTTTGCTTTTCGAGACAGGGTTTCTCTGCATGGCTCTGGCTATCTTGGAACTCACTCTGTAGATCAGGTTGGCCTCGAATTCAGAGAGCCACTGCCTCTTCCTCCTGAGGGCTAAGATCAAAGGCATGCAACATCATTGCCCAGCTTCATCAGCTGAATTTTAAGTGTATATTACTATAGCATTTCTGCATTATGTTTTACAGTATATTGCTGAAACTTTTCTGTCTTGCACACCTGAAACTTTTTACCTACTGGGTGATAACTATTTTATTCTTTCTTCAAACCAGACAACTACAACTCTACTTTCTTGTTCTGTATATTTGATATGTCAGATACTTCATACATCATCCCACTTCATAGGGGGGAATCACACAGTATTTGTCCTTCAGTGACCGGTCATTTAGCTGTTAGAATGTTTCCAAGCATATTGTTTCTTGGCAGAATACTTTTTGTTGAGCTTCTTGAGATTTTAGCACAACTGTGGTCATGGAAGGATTATTGATGATAGCCGAGACGTGGAGATTATGTTTGCTAATGAATGAATAGAGAAAATATGGCTCATGAATATTGTCCAAACATTGAAATATAGTACCCTTACTGCTTCTTCCTCAAGGGTATGGATACTAGGTTTGTTTTTATAAAAATGCATTTCTGGCTTATAAAACCAGCAAGAGTCAATAAGAGATTTCTGATGTGATCATGAGCAGTGGCAGGATCTGCAGGCAGTCCTTCCCGCTCTACAGCTTGGGATCTCCCAATCTTAGGGGCATGGACACTTAGTGCTGGCGGACTCAGACTCACTCTTCCACAAGGTGTTCAGGGGGGCATGCTGTTCATTAGGTCAGCCATCTCCAGAGTAGTTTGGTTTCAAGTGATAAGTTTATCCTCATCCTCAGGTTTCAGTGTAATTCTTCACAATCTTGCCTGGTCATTGCCTTTAGAAAGAAAACTGGCTGGGGATGAACACATATCCCTGATTTGATTCAAAGTTGGAAAAGAAGTTGGTGCCTCTCTCTCTGTCTCTGTCTCTGTCTCTGTCTCTGTGTGTGTGTGTGTGTGTGTTCGCACATGCCTGTGTTGACCTCAATGTGTTTCCAGATCTCATCCTACTCATACTAGTCTAAGGCTACAGAAAATCTCACTGGGCCTCAGCTGGGGATGTGTGGCTTTAGGTACTCGACAGCATTCACAGTAAAAGTTCTGAGATGTATGACTTTTGGTCAGTTAAGAACTAGAACAAGGAATAGAGAAGTAAATATGCTTTTAGGATACAACAGGATCAGGATTTAAATAATTTTTCAAGAGCCTGCAAAGCTTCATCTTTTTTTCACTTTTCTCTTTTACTCTTTCTTCTTTTTTTATATTTTCCCCTTTTCTTCTGTATAATGAGAAGGGTATGAGGGGAATTATTATTGCTACTCAGGATATGTCAACAATGATTATCCCTATGGTGTGATGGTCTCAGTATAATAACTGCTTTAGTGGTATGTTGAGATAGTCACATATATAGTTTTACAGTTAGAAGAAATACCTTCCATACCTACTGTGCTTTAAACAAAATACAGCGTGTGGGGCTGGAAAGATAGTTCAGAGGTTAAGAGCACTGGCTGTTCTTCTAAAGGTCTTGAGTTCAGTTCCCTGCTGCCACGTGGTGGCTCTCAACCATCTGAAATGAGATCTGGTGTCCTCTTCTGGCCTACAGGCATACATGCAGGCAGAACACTGTACATATAATAAATAAATAAATCTTAAAAAATAGCATGTAAATAAAATTACTCAGAAAAAAATTATCTCATAATCTGAATAACATTGTGAAATCTTAATTGACTTTCATTTGTTATCCAAGAAGGCAGGCACCTCCTCGCATGATCTTAAACTAGTCAAAATCTAGCTTTCATTTTATACTGATTGGTGTTTTCTGTTAAACTCTTTTTTTTAATCAGTTAGGATATGTTAATCCCTTGTTGTTCTTCACTTCATTGTTGTTGATTTTTGTGTGTGAGGTATCAGTCAAACATGGTATATATGTGAGTCACAGATTACTTCTTGATATGTCAAGAACACAACACAGCCACAGTAGTTCTCCTGTAATCTGCAAGCTCTGGTGGTGCTCCCAGGTAGCCTGCATGATTATAAATAGATTACAGGAGTTTTTCTATGTCTTCTGTTGTTATTTAAGATTCATTTTAGGTTTAATGCCTTTGTGTGTGTGTGTGTTTGGGTATCTGCACATTAGTGCTTTTGCCCTTGGAGACCAGAGGCATTAGAGCTAGAATTGCAGGCAGCTGGGAGACACCTGGCTTGGTTGCTCAAAAGCATCAGACTTGGGTCCTCTGAGAAAACTGTGCCGACTCTTAACCATTGAACCTTCTCTGCAGCTCCTTTGTCTTTATTCTTGAAGGCCCAAGTTATATCACAGGGATAATGGAACACTTCATGCTTTATTTGACTTCAAAGATCCTGATCATCTATTTTCAAGGTTCAAGAAGTATTTCAATAACATGTGAAAATGCTTTCTGACAACTTGGTTAATGGCTACCCTCTCTTGAAGCCAGAAGCTAAATATTTGTAGACACGTACTCTTGGCTTCCTTAATAGTTCAGACTCATAGCTTGCCTTTAGTATTCAAACAGTGAATTTTAGAGATTGTCTTCTAAGATGGAGTATTTCAAAGTAACTCCTTGAACAAGACTTTCTAAACATGTGGTCTCTTTGTAATGAAAGCTGATGCTTCCTTAGAATCACAGTCGTCTTTGATTGTTGAGAAGATGACACTTTTTTTGAGACACTCTAGATTTTGTCATGTTGCTCTTCAGGAAGTGCTTTTGCCTTAAGAAGAATGATATCATAGAGGCTGACAGAACTGAGCTGTGTTCATGAATTATCAGATTGGCATTTGTGAGCATTGGTTCATTTCCCTTATGGAATCACCTATGCAAAGTTAATAAACACATGAAAAACCAGTTACAAGATAAAATAAGTTGGCTATGGCAGGATTTCAGATTTCCTTAAAGCCAACAATGAAACTCCTAAATTAAGTAAGCTTCATATGTACATTGAATGGAGATTTTTTTCAGTTGTAATTACCTTTACTATTTTCTGTGCCAAACAAGGTGCAGATTATACAACTTTCACCCAGCATTGATATACTCCTTCTTGAAACAAGTTCTCATTTCCCAAAATGTGAGATGAGAGGGGATGTAACGTATTGTCTTCCTGTCTGCTGCCTGGTTCCTGTTGCTTCTTTCAGCCCCCAAATAACACACAAGACACTATATTAATTATGAAGCTGTTGGCCATTTGCTTGGTTTCTTATCAGCTATATCTGAGTTGATTATTAACCCATAATTATCTATATATACTTTACAAGAACTTATCTTTGCTAGGACACACTTCTGCCATGTCTGTTTCTCCCGGGATTCACATGGCAACCAGCGTCTTCACTACATTTCCCAGAATCCTCCTAGACTCCTAGTCCTGCTTATCTTGCTTCCCTATTGGCCAACAGTGCTTTATTGACATATACACAGGAATCTCCCATCATCTCCTCTTTTCTGTCTAAATAAAAAGAAAGGTTTTAATTTTAACATAGTCAAATTATATATAACAGAACAGTTATCAAGCAAGAACTACAGTTATAATATTTTGTTCATTAACATTTAGTAAGATTCAAGAAAATATCATCTATCCTATCTTTGTGAGACTAAAGTATTATATGTAGCTCATCTTTTATCATAACTAAGGAAAACTATAATTATAACTATCTGTCTTCAACTCCATCAAAGACCACAGAAGGATAATATATAAACACTAGGATTGACAGAGACATCTCTCTACCTGGGCAGTCACCCGGAGTTCCTCTGTAACGTTGGGGCATCCATCTTCAGCCAGTAGGCCACAGTGTGCCTGGAAGACTTCTCAGCAAAGCAGGAAATTTCAAATGTCCATCTGCATTGGCAGCCTGTCAGTCAATTTTCTGTGTACTGCAGAAAGTTTGGCAGACTCTTCCATGAAGCAGGAACTCTTTAGGACTCTCCAAGTTCAGTAGTCACATTTCTGTGGATCCTGCATATATATATTATATAGCAATAGTCAAACGGTCTGGGCAAGAGCATTTCTTGCCCAAATGGCTAATCTTGACATGTTGAAAGCAAACTCCATAACAAGTTTCTTCAATGCCCATCTTCCTCTCAGATGTAATTGGTGCTGTCAGGAGCAGACATTTCTCATTGTCAAGAAAAACCCTAAACCATTTTAAGTGCCATTTTCTGAAGGTCTTTGAAAGGTTTGAAGACTTTCTATCTATCTCATATATATCTCTGTATATCTAGAAAACCTAGCTTACCTAACTATAAATTCTGACTATTATAACTATCTATAGTCTGTATTTAATTATGCATTACATTTTAAAAGATCAGTATAAGCACAATACTTAATCAAGAGGAGAAATATACATATCACAAAATTGACCTTGAATTTGTATCAATAAATGAAAATCCATCCCAAGACAAAGTATTCTTTTCTATATCATATTACCTTTTTTCTCTTTAGAAAGAGATTGACTGTGATCATTATCATTTATAAACAACCCTGTATAAATGAAAACAAACATTTAAATAATATTTGGGAATTTGGGTGTTGGTCATTCCAAACTGCTTCCTGCTGCATGGGGACACTGTCCATACCATGGGGATCATGACAAAATACAAAAACCTGGCCAACTACTTGTTTTTTGTAGTCTGTAAGGCTGCATCATCTCAGCTGTTTTAGATGCTGAATCACCTGGGCCACTGCTTCTGGGGGGCCTTGGTTCATCAAACCACAGAAGCCTGGAAGGAATCTACAGCTTTCCATTTTCTATGGAAACATAAACAAAAACTCTTTTTTCCAAGTAACCTGTCCTTATATTTAAATTTATATGTCAAAGCATTTTCAAAAGATACAAGTTGGATTAATTTAGCAGCAGTTGTTTGTACTTTAGCAATCGAAAAACTGAAAAACACAATAGCATGCAGTATCTAGATTCTCTGTGTATTTTCCATCTTCACGTGGCTTATTTATTTATCTATTATTATTACTCTATTTCTTTTACTTTTATTTATTTCTCTGAGACAGGGTTTCTCTGGAAATGTGCCTGCCTTTGCCTCTGGAGCAAATCCTATTGGCGTGTGCCACCACAGCCGGCTTCTCTATTTCCTTTACCACTATGCCATTTCTTTTTCTCTCTCAAGCCTAAGTATATTTTTAAACACACTGTAAACCTTTAGAGGTTTTTCTTCATCTGAATCTGACTTTACTATAAATCTCTCTTTTTTTTTCAAGACAGGGTTTCTCTGTATTGTTTTAGAGCCTGTCCTGGAACTCGCTCGGTAGACCAGGCTTGGTCTTGAACTCAGAGATCCACTTACTATAAATCTTTATGTTTTTCTGGCCACGTGTCTTATCTGCTAAAAAACACGGCTGTTTAAACTGCTCTTTCCAAGATGGCGGGCTTAAGTTCACCGCCAGCACTGTCTGTGCAGTCTCTGCTTGTCTCTAGCAAAACAGAGCCCATCTGAAAAAAATCTGCTACCAAGAAGCTGTGCTTCTCTTTGTTCTTTTGTTTTATAAAATCCCATTTAAGCTTTTGTCATTCTACATGGAAATTTATGATTCCACTCCTGACAACCATATGTAACGTGTTGTCTTCCTGTCTGCTGCCTGGTTCCTGTTGCTGCTTTCAGCCCCTAAATAACACACAAGACACTATATTAATTATGAAGCTGTTTGGTTTCTTATCAGCTAGATCTGACTTGATTATTAACCCATAATTATCTATATATCCTTTACAAGAACTTATCTTTGCTAGGATGCACTCCTGCCATGTCCGTTCCTCCTGGGAGTCACACGGCAACCAGCCTCTTCACTACATTTCCCAGAATCCTCCTAGACTCCTAGTCCCGCCTATCTTGCTTCCCTACTGGCCAACAGTGCTTTATTGACATATACATAGACTTGTGTTGATCACCCTTATACTGTTGAATATTTTGAGTGGCACTGTGCCAAGAGTGAAGCAGGTTTCAAGTGCATTAACTAAAGTGGTGACATGCGAAAGAGATACTGGGACAACTCTTGGGAGGTATTACTGTTTTCAGATAATTTTGAAAAAATAAGTTATTGATATTAAAGACATACAGACTTATATTTGTTTAAGTGTAGTGCTGTTCATTTGCCTTAAGGGCATTCAAAGTTGAGAAAGAATTAAACACCAGAGTATTTTGAGGATTCATTGTTTTCCTTGTGAGCCTTGGAGCTCACCATCTCTTGTAAGTTTGGGGTTTTCATCATTAACTCAGATAGCTTTGATTCTTTTTGCATTTTTTCGTATGTTCTCCAGCTATGTGATCATAGTGGCCTGAGGATTATTTTTATCCTGAACAGAGATGAAAACAATTTGGACTTCCTGGATTTCTCATTGGTGTGACATTATGCACTTGCAACACAGCTATCCTAGCAGAGCTAGTGCCCAAGGTTGGTTTCGTCTGATATCTG